TAAATGAACCATGGATTAATATATTGTGAAGATATGGTGTACCCTAGTTCCAAGTCAACACCCATGGTCAATCCTAAAGCCAAGTAATCCTATAGGGACTCTTCTTGAATTCTCTTATAATGATCTTATCTACTAAATGCTAGAGGTTAAGATCAATATGTGGAATTTCAAGTTGAGTAAAAAGAAGAGTTTTGAATTTCTAATGGTGGGGGTACCTTTTCTAATTTTCTAAGACTAGTCAATAGGAAAGTCCTATGGCTAGACCTAGGCTATTAAAGAAGTTTCTAGACCTCAACCAAAAGTGAGGTCAACATGACTCTAGAAAAGTAATCGGAGACCAACTCGCCTTCTTTTATATGCAAAACATCAAATTGGCTTCTTAAAGTTTGAAGTCGTACCTTTTTAACCTTCTCTTCTCCTTTATATGAAACATCGAGCTTCTTCCATGCTAGTTTGGTCGAAGTAGCACTTGAGATCTTCTCAAAATCATCTTCATCTAAAGTTTGATAGATGAGGAAGAGAGTCTTCTTGTCTCTCTTTCGCAAGTCTTTTAAGTTATCCTTTTGTGTTGTGGATAGAGCCGACTCGTCGCTTGGCTCATCGTAGTTTTTCTTCACAAACTCCCAAACGTCATGCGCTCCAAGGAGTGCCTTCATCTTAATACTTCAATTGTCGTAGATGCTTTCCTTAAGCATCAAAACTTGGAAGGAAACCATGTCACCGTTTGTCTTTGCTCTATAAAGGAACCTTTAGTCTCTGATATCACTTTGTTGGAATGGAGAAATTTTTTGGATATGACAAAGGCTAAAAACTTATGGAAGAAGCTTCACTCTTATTTATCACATTAACTTTGCTTGATACAAACTCAAAGACTCCACCCATATTTATACTAGTAGCACTTCTTAAATTAATGGCTAGGATTGTACCACCACAATTCCAATCTAATTGTTACAAATAATTTCACGTCTACCACACAATAATTCCACACCTACCACACAATAATTTCATACCTACCATAACTTCTAGAATAAGTTTCTAGAATTTAGGCTTTATTTAAACAACTAAAACCAAGTTTATATTTCAACAGATTATGGATCGGTGCTGGTAGGCGCCTTCATTGAGCACAAATTGATAGAATCTGAAGTTGCTACCTTGTTCAAATTGGCTTGTGCAGATGCTGCACAACAAGTCGATGAAATGAACTCTCGATATGAAAAGATTGGCATTGAACTTCTTCAAAAAGAAGCTTCATTGGAGCACCTATGCAATCTTTCAACACATAGGTGATGTTTACTATAAGATGCATAATGTTAGTACATGTGTTTCTTAACATTTATTTTTTGTGTTATGTAAATCTTTTTTACTTTGTACTAAATATAATCTGATTCTTAATTTGCATTTATTGTTTTGTAGATCCCATACATGAAAAAACTGTCATATGAAATGCTTGGAGAGAAATTTTTGAAAGAATATGGTGATCATGATGACAAAGTTACTACTATTGACCCCAAGCGCATTCAAGGAATCAAGGCAGCTACTAAACATCCCATCTATGAGAATTTCCATGCGGAGGTAGGAGTTGGTCTTTTTAATCTCCTTCGTGGACTACTCATTAATTTGGCCTCATAAAGCATTTATATTTCATCTTAATGAGATAAATGTATTATCACCTTCATCATGAATATGTTAGAATTAGTAAACTTTTGTCTCAAACTAACAAGTTCAATGACTGCACTGCAATTATTAGCGAAAATGGTACGGATTCTTTATGTTAAGAGTAATTAATCTGAAAATACATTGGAATCTTCAATCTTTCAAAGAATGCTTGGGAATGCTTTCAAAGTTGGGTTACCTATGAGTAGGATTGGAATCGAGCAGAGTATTTTGTTGATTGTACTTAAACTTTGCTATACGATAAGTTGTTTAAGTTTGGCTCGAGCTCAAGTTCATATTTTCCTCCTTTCTATGTTTTGGATTTCTCTTTTTTTATGTTTTTTTCATCAATATGCAATTTGAATGTAAATAAATTTTACCTTTTTGTTCTTTTGTAAAGCTGTAGGCCTTCAAAGCACTATTGACAGCAGCAATGACGGATGAACAACTTTTAACACTTGGAGAGCTTATGTATCAGATAAACCTAACTTTAGACAAATCAAGATCGCATCAAAATTAATCACATATCGATTTCATTTTACAATGCTCAATTTCATCAGTACACCTATTTTACTTATTGGTGAAGCTCGCATGAGAGTTAGCATAATGTACTTTGACTACTAGGCTAAAGTGATAACAACAAACTATGTTATCTGATTTTGGCCGGTATATTGATTTTTTTGTGTCATTTTCTAAAAATATGATGTATCTCAAACACGTTTTTATTGCGTTGTTTTACATTGCAAACTTCATCGTTTTTGTTTTTTGGAAATTTAATCACAAATGGTAGAAATCTTTAACCTTTTTATGTTTTTTCTTTTGCTTCTTGTACAGTGCCATTACAGTTATAGTGAGTGCCGATTCGGATCAGATGGAACAGACGGGCTTGACAAACTTGCACAGGAAATGCAGAATGGAAAGTCTTCTCATGAGGCATATGCAGCTTATTTGGAGCAAAAATCACCGGTGGAGGATCAGGTGGCACGGTCAGTCTCATTGGAAGAAGCTGCCTTAGAAGCAGTGGAGATTTTGAGGTAACTTAATTCTGTTGTTTAATGTGCTGGTTTGGGGGATTTGGAATGCGGTGAAAAATTCTATGGAATTCCGAAATATGCAAAAATTGGCCAATTTTCAAATAAATTGGAGAAAAATGTCAATCGTCTCTTGTCATGAGCTTTTATTGCGTCAAAACACAGGATATGAATTTGTGTCGGATGTCCAATTAAAATCACTGAAATATATATTTTTGGGTCTCTTTAATTTTGATGATTTTAATTGGACACCAAGGCCAAATTCCTGCTAACCATCACCTCCAATCACCGTCAATCCATCGTAAGCCAGCTTACTATCGCGGGGATTTGCATTGATTTCATCCTACTTTCAGCTGAACACCAAAAAAGTAAACTTGTGTGTTTATTTTACGCCTTACCAAACTTAGAAATACTTTAAATGCATTGCTTCAATGACAGTGCGTCCATTTTTCAGCAAACCAATTTGTCCTATAATTAATAATATTTGACAAATGTAGCATTGGCAGAAATTCCTTCGATTTGCTCATGATGTCATATTAATCTTGTTTTATCAGAGAAAGAGAGCTAACTTTTCCTGTCTTCTTCAGTTATAGAAGGAATAGTATTCCCAAATCCAAATTTGCTCTTATAATATGCGGATCTTCAATCTTGATTTGCTTCAACATATAATGATATATTTGAACGTTTGTTTTGATTTGCTCTGTAGTATAATGTTTTGAATTCCATACAATTTAAACAGATATTGTGACAACCCGAACTCACACACATCAAGGTATTGTCTGCTATTGCCTAGCGGCCTCACGATTTTGCGCCATTGGTGTAACTTCCTAAGAAATTACCCATCTTAGAATTGCTCTAGCATGAGCACCCTTAACTTCAGAATTTCTGTCAAAATTTCACTGCTACAATAAAAGACATCTCGATGTTTAAGAGTGCTTCATATTCATCCAGATCATAACTCCAAAGTTAAGCGTGCTCATGCTATCTCCAGAAATAAAAATGCAGTTGAAGAAGATTGGGTTATGATAGTTTTTGAAATAATTAAATTTACTTTGAGATGAGCACTACGAACGACTGATCAATTAATTCTAGTATTGCAGTCATCAAAAAACAAATTTAACAATCATATGTATTGCACTGAATTCGTCTCTAAACAAATCCAAAAATTTTAAAATCATCCTGAACAAAATTGACAAGCATATCCTGATCCTATTTTTTTCAAATAAAATTCATTTTTATAGCCTAAGAAACTCATCTTTCCACCATTTAAACTAATAACAGATAGAGATATCCTATTTTTATTGTCTTTTATTATGTTTTTTTGTGGTAGTTTATAGTGGTGAGTATGAATTGGTAACCTCAAAGTTTTGATTGGATCCGGGTGAATATGAAATGTCACATCTCTCGAAGCACTATAAAATTCACAAATTTTATTTACTATGCCCAGTAAGGATCACTTAAACTTTGTAATTCTCATTAGATGTAAAAAACATGCTAAATGAATGTCAATCACAAACAAATTACAAATTTTGCTCAATAAGGATTGTTTGGCCTTTCCATTTCTCAAATGATACAAACTAACTGCCTGGTGTAACATAAATTTGGAATGATGTCATCTACTTGTTCTAATAAATACTCTAAAGCTAGAGAAAAGATAAGCAGTGACAATTACTAAGAACTATTAATGTGTTGTAAGGATATCATGGTGTAAAAATAGTTTATTTCTGTAGACAAGCTTGTAAAGGGTAAATTGGTTTAGTTGGAATTCAGGACGGCCGCCCCTTGGAGCAGGGGGACGGTGTTTATGAGTGAAAGCTTGGGCTTCAAGGCAAAATGAGGGCCAATTGTCTTAGTATTATCCTTCAAAACTGCGAGCACTCTCCGAACCTCATTTGATAGTTCAGTCACGAGATCCTCTTCATGTCCTACATTCATTTACATCATTATTTACACATGTAATTAATATGAAGCAAAACTTCAAAAATCATTAAGGCTCAAATGCTTGGATGGCATCTAAAATTTTTTTTAAAATCTACCCTTTCAGTTAACTTTTTAAATTACATTACAGAAATAATTGGACTTGTATATATTTTCATTTGAGTGGACACATGGCAAAGCACAAATAAATTACCTATATGAAACAGTGCCCTCTCCAACTTAAACAGGTAGTCCCTATTGTTCCCGCTAGGACCATTCGCAGTAGCAATTTGCCTGAAACATATAATAACATGCTATAATCAGCTAAAAAGTAAAAACTAAAAAATAAAAAACAATGGGGTTGGATAGATAATTTAGAAGACTTTCAGCTATACCTTGCCATTTCCTCCAAGGGAGCAGGGCCAAGATAATATCTATTGGCTATAACATCTGGAGTGGAAATGAATCTGGCCAGAAAAACCAAATATCAGGCTTTGGAGTATAATAATGAAAATGTTAGTAATATGCAGCAATTTGATTCTTTGAACATATAAATTTCCAAAATGAAACTTAAAAAAAAAAAGCTTTATATAAATTTCCAAAATGAAACTTAACTTAAAAAAAAAAAGCTTTGCAAGGCAAGTTAGGTCTCTTACACTAGTACATCAGTCAAAAATGGCTGATTGTTTTCTCCTTCCTGCACGAAGGAGCACAAAACAGGCATAAGAAGAGAAGGACAATAGAAAAGCAATGTAGGGGTCAACAAAGTGAACTCTTAGTAACCTTGTAAAAGTTAACTAATGCTTTCTTGTCATACTCGCATTCCCTTCTCTCCAAATACTGAAATTTCAATAACGTAAAACAGCTTTATGAATTAAGTGAAATATAATACTAAATTGTAATTTTCAGTTATTTGCCAGATGAGAGGAACATTTATTGCCGAGTTCATACCTGCATTGTCGCTCTTTCTTTCTCAATGCCACCTCTAACGCAAAATGCAATTCCCCACTGTTAAGATAGTAAAAAAATTATCACATGCCAACTTGATTGCAGCTTGTTGCCGTGTAAACCAAAATTCCCATTGCTTACATCAAAATATTGAAAGAGTTTACATTATAGACGTGTACTTTGTCGCAGATTTCAATTAGATGTTAATAATTAATAAAGAAAAAAAGGATAAAAATGATTGTTGGTCATTGGGAGAGAAGGATAGTGTAAATGCATCATCCACAGCATTCCCCTCAGAAACTTAATATGGTTAGGAAAGTTTTAAATGTGTCCAACATGAGCTTGAGTCTGGGATGGTAGACATATAAATGCGTAATAAACACTGGAAACAAGAAATGGTTTTAGGATCTTACACAAACTGCTCCTACTTCGGACTCTAACGTGCAAGTTCTTGCTGGATGTTCAGGTGTACCCCTGTGATCTATGCATGCTGCAAAAAAAAAAATTTACATCAATTTCATAGCAAACTAAAAGCGAACCTTAATTCTAAAGGAACTGTCTTACCAAGATCAAAGACACGCCTGAAGTCCTTAATAAAACCTAAAATCTTCTCGTCAAAATCAAAACCGGGATTCCAGATCAGCGATCCATAGCCAAAAACCCACAGAACCATAGTTTATGTCCTTGTTCTGCATAATATTTTAAATGAAAGTCATCAGTTACGCGAATCCTGTGTCAAATAATGAAGAAGAAAACAGGAACAAACGTCATTACAATGCTTTAGTGATACAGAAAATGAATAATCATCGCTAGCTGTTCGAAACAAAGGAATGCAGGTTGAATACAGGGATGATTCTACCTTCCCAATTTTCTCAGTTCTTCCAAACCCAAGCAGATATTTCTATCCTCTGCCATAAATCATAAGCAAGAGCTTCACCCTTATCTTACTAACCAAAAAAATTAAAAATAAAAAAATTCTAACATTTTACAACTCAAACGAGATCCTCGGAGAAATGTAATTTCATAAAAATATGTTCCAATATTCTCTTCTAAATTTGGTAAATGCCAAGCTTTGCAACTCAACCGCCACATAAGTACGTCGTGTAAGTAAATCCACTGAAAAATGCATCAATAAACAATACGTTGGTGTACGTCGACCTTAACTCAAAAGGATAGAACAATCAAACCATACTTCTTCTGAACCCATTTAACTCTTTCCAAATCATACCTAAAGTGAGCGCTTATGCAACCTATCTCAATAATCAATCATTTTTCAACCAAATCTCCATAAGTTATTTTGTCCCTATTTAAAAAAAACCATCAATAACTGAAAATTTCCCAAGAAAAACACTCATCTTCTTAAAAAGATCATCTAATGCAACTCAAAGTTGATCAAGCAAGAAATAAAGAGCTCCAGCCAGTATCCATCAACTTTCCCAACAGAAAACATGATCATAACCAAACTCCTGGTAAGCAAATGGGAGAAACATCAAAACCCAACCTCGGATGCATCCATGAAGAAGAAAACAGGTAGGGTATATGCAGTGATTTTACTTACACAATCCCGATGCGGAACCGAAACTCCGACCCCGATAAACTTCCTCTTCTTCCTCCTCTGCCCTCTTCTCCGCCTCCTCAACGCCTGAGAGGCAACGGAAGAGCAGCGACGAGGAGAAGAAGGGAGAAACCTGAGAATGTGAAGGGAGAAGAGAATCCGCAAAACTCTCAGGTCTTCTGTCCTCCGTCTTCACAGATGGGTACGGCAAAGGAGGAAGACGGCCTTTTATAGTCGGGGTCCCCCAGCTATGCCTGTATCTATTCATTGCATGGCCTTCTATAAATTACTTTTTTACCCCTATACTCTTTTAACAGCTTCTTCTAAATTACCTTTTAACCCCCGGTTCCTTTAACTGGGTTGAGTGGTGCAACTTATATTTAATATAGATGTGTTATAGATTATTTAACGCCTAAGTAAGTCACGATTCTTAAGATTTTTAATTATTTTATTTATTTTTGTAAAGTTGTAAATTCATTCAATCACATTAATTATACATTTTATGATTTTTACGTACAGAAAGCATACGCAGAGTTGCGTGCATTTTAGGTTATTCGGAGGGGTATAACTAAGTTACACTTAAGTTATATCTCCTTGTAATTATTTCTGTAATCTAAATGTAACTTAACTGTACCCTTCAAATAACCTAAAATGTATCAATCTATGTACGCTTTCTGTACGCAAATATTTATCCTACATGTACTCAAATCCTATTTATTTAAGGATATATTTCACAATTTAAAAATTAAGATAATGATATTTTTTGTTAGATACGTAAATATTTATGAATTGTGTGGTATGTATATAAATGCCCCTTAAAGTTGTTATCAAATGAACAACAAATAAGAGCTTATTTTCTAAGAAAATGACATCTATTTGTAGGAACATTGATGTTGTTTTTAAGATTTCATGTTTTAATAAGTTGTTTATATTTCATTGAAGTAAATTGGATAGAAATTATAGACAAATTATTTTTAATTATAAACAACAAAAGCATATAGACAAATTATCAATCAAAGTGTTTCATATAGGAACCAAAAAGGTTACATTTTGGCCTGCAATGCAATTTGTAAATAAGACAAAAATAAACACGAGCACAAAAAATTACATCAGCATCCAGTTGGCGAGAGAACAGGCATGTATTAACTCTTGTCAAAATAATGCCAAAGGCCACCTTGTCGTTTTCAGATGGTCTTGGCATCTAATAATTATACTCTCGGTTAGGGTTGTCAAAAAAAGAAAAAAAAAGCTCATTATTCGTCAATAGCTCGTGTTCGGTTCATTTGTTAAGCAAACGAGTCAAATACAAACAGCTCTTTGTTCACTCGTGTTCGGCTCGTTTTAGCTTGAAATAAAAAATATATATAATTATTTATATAATAATATATTATATATGTTTATATCTAAGTTTAAAACGTAACTGCTCGTATTGTAATGTGATTATGCGCCTTCTTTTGCATACCATTGGTTCAGGTTTAAATCTAGCACTCTACATCTATTTTTTAAGTTTAATTTTAACTAGCCAATTTCGAGCCGAACACAAGCCAAACATGAACGCGAATATTTAAATCAAGCCGAACACGAACACATTGTTCAAGAGCTTGTTTCGAATACGAGCTGATTTCAAACACGATCAATTTTGAACTAGCCGAACACAACCCAAGCATGAGCTCGCTTAAACTCGGCTCATTTACAATCCTAGTCTCATCGTTGCTCGAGAATTCAACACACATTGAGATGAAAGTAAATAATCTATAAAAATTCCATAAGATTTTACGTGTAACTCATAAAGGAATTGAGCGATCTTAAGCTCGTTGGATTTTTCTCACTGATATGTTTGATTTGACTATGAACTTGTCATATTTGGTATTCATTCGACCTTCCAAATGTATTTGTAAAATTTATAAATATGATTTAATGTCTTGATCTGAGCTTGATTTGGTTCAGAGTAGACTACTTTTGACATTATTGGGTTCGTCTCGTTGTGTCGGTCAGTTTGACTATATATTTGCTGAAGTAGGAGCTCTAGATGACTCCTAATCAAAGTTTAATCATTTCTTGCTCAAAGGATGCCTTGAGATCTATATCATACCTTGAGATTCATACCGGAAGTTGAAAATCTGTTAATAACATATCAAGTTTATTAAATCTTCTTGAGTGATTTTTGATCGCTTACACTTTCTGCATTATTGTTATATTTATCTAATGTGAAGCATATAAAAGCATTTATATAATGGCTTCTTTCATCTTAAATATGTGCATAGTATCTATAGTTTTAATTTTGTTATGAAATTAAACTTAAATGACATATGAGTTTTTATTTAAAAAAGGTGAACTTGTGCGTATGTGGCACAATTTCAAAATTTCAATATATGTCAATAAAAGGGACTTATAGGCGCAATATCATTAAATTGTATTTTTTAAAAAATATTTTTAAGCTAGTAATATTAAAATTAATCTTAAATTATTTTATTTTAAAATTTCCCCTAAACAGGGTAGGGTAATATATAAAATAGTGATGACATATTATATGTTATAATAGGCTTCATTAGGATCTAAAGTAAAAAGAGTGAGACATTACTTTCTAAATAGCAAATGCTAGAAAATCTTGATGAATGATGGCTTAGAAAGATGCAAGGATAGTTGGCTAGTGCAATTGATATATAAGTGGGAAAACTTATGGCAACAAACTTAAGCTCATTGAGTTCTATTATCATTTGATACACTTGTTCACAATTAGATCAGTTTAATCTAACAATTTGGCCAATTTTTAGGAGCACGAACAAGATTTATTTTGCATGTGATCTAACGTGCCCAATTGCCACTCTTAATATATGTAAAGTATGCCATTTTCATTGTAAACTCTCTACATATGGAAGCTTACCACTAAGATCTAATGTTTTTAATTAAATTGGCCAACTTAACCTAACATAAAAAAATAATTAGAAATTCAGTTGGCATGATCATTTATATGAGTCTATGATTATAACTACTATATTGATAAAATATATAAAAATTCATGTGGTTTAATTATATTTGAAAACTAATCCTTTTTAAATGAATAATAATGAGATTTTACTTGGAAATACTCATATAATATATTGTTTGCATTTTAATTAATATTGTTGGTAAATACCTTAGAAGTTATCATTATAATTTTGAATATAAAATTAATATGTATCAAATGTTTTGTCTTCACTCTTCACACTCAATATTTTAAGAAAATAAATATTATTTTATCTATTTTGGCTTCTTACATAACAAAATTATGTATAATCTTTTAGAGATAAAATGATATTATCTATAATGTCTTATCCTATATTTTGAAGCCATGTCATCCCAAATTGGTTTATGCTGTCTCAAGTAATATTAGTGATTGATATGATCTTTTGTTGTTATATGAAAAGGTCATGAAAGAGCATGGATTCATAATCAATATAATTATAAGGCATATTAAATATTTAAATTTTCTTATTCACTTAAAATATCTAATCTCTAACTCATATTTAATTCATGTGCATGAAATGACCTTTTTGATAAGTTAATATTAATCATATTTAAAATAAAATTTAAAAACAATTATGTTTATTTAATAGTAGGGCTGTCAAAACTGCTTGTTGTTCGCGAAAAACTCGTGTTCGGCTCGTTCGCTAAGTTAACGAGCCGAACATGAACCACAAGAACAAATAATTGTTCGTTCGTGTTCGGCTCGTTTTTGCTTGAAATACTAATCAATAATATATATATATATATATATATA